AGTTTATAATTCATTATTTTAATCATTTAACAAACACAGTATTTAAATGTCAACAAATGTCAAATCAAGAAAAGTGTCAAAATCCTTAGCAACGTGTAAAGAAGGTGATAAAAAATATTGTCGCTGTGATAAAATGCGTAACCATGGAATACTGGCATTTTATTGGTTCTAATTATAATAAATTGTATAATAATAATAATAGGGTGATACATTGAGAAAAAATAAACTTGTTTTTTCCTGTATACTGATCAATTTTCCAATTTTATTTAAACGTAGAAAAAAAGTATTTTTTAGTACCGTAAAACGGGGATACTTTGAACCGGAGTGAAACTTTGATCAATTAGCCGCCATTTTGTTTAATCTAATATATTTCTAAAAATTCTGTTTTTTTTGCAAAACAAAAAATCTTACGGGACTTAAATATATATAATACATGTTGTTAAGCCAAAAAATTAAATTATTTTGACACCCCAGAAAAATAATCGTAGGAAACGTGATGACGTCATTTTTCATCTTTTTTCTTCCCTTCCAAACTTTTGTGTATACAATAGTTTAGGTATTCGAACAGGAAATACAACATTTTTTATCGTGTAGATCAACTTCTTAGCTATATTGTAGCGATTTTAAAGTAATTAAAATCTCACTTGTGACTATTACAAAAAAATAAATAAAAAAATTTAACAAATTAATATATAACGTGGGGTAACTTTGAACCTGTTCAAAGTTACCCCACGTCTCGACGTTGCGCTTTTAAGACCAGTATTACACTATCAAATATCTTTGTCAAAGATCTTTAATAGTGTAATACTGGCCTAAAACAATGGTACGTGCTCTTAACACCAGGCGGGTACCTTTCATCAAGTCATCAGTTATAGACAGCGTCGAAGGTAGTTGCTCGCGTTTTCTATTTTGGACTGTTTTACAAAGTTTAGTTTTTGCAATGCGTGTTTATACCAGAAAGTTGGGTGCAAGAAATTATAAAAATTATACGCCGGAGACACTTTTAAAAGCCTTGGATGAAATAAGAAAAGGAAAAATTAGTATAGGCAAAGCTGCGAAGAAGTACCGGATTGCCAAGGGGACTCTAAGTCATAAGTTAAGAAACAAGTATTCAGATAATGTGGGAAGACCGACTGTATTAAGTACGGAGGAAGAAAAAAATATTGTAAGTGTACTTTTAAAAACGGCTGAATGGGGTTACCCAATAACAAATGAAAATTTACGCCACATATTGCAGACACACTTTAATCAAATTGGCAAATCTACAATATTTAAAAACAATTTGCCAGGTAAAGACTGGATCAGAAATTTTTTTGAGAGAAATAAGAATTTATTATGCTATAGGAAAGCTCAAAATATAAATCCTAATCGTGCTGCGGTTTCTAGAGATCTATTTATCACCTATAGGTATACTTCGATAATTTAGAAAAATCATTAGAGGGTGTATTGCCTAAAAACATCTATAATTTTGATGAAACCAACTTGAGTGATGAACCTGGATCTTCGAAATGTTTTTTTAAACGAGGTGTTAAATACCCTGAGAGGGTAATGTCACATTCAAAATCCAATATATCCATAATGTTTTGCGGCAGTGCGATGGGGGAACTGATACCTCTGTACGTGGTATACAAGGCGGAAAATATGTGGTCAACATGGACCGAAGGTGGGCCTGAAAAATGTAGGTTTAATCGAACTTCACATGGGTGGTTTGATTCATCAACCTTTGTTGATTGGTTTAAAAGCACTTTTCTAGTGCATGTAAAAAATCAGCAGGGTCCCAAAGTCCTTATTGGAGACAACCTAGCAAGCCATTTTTCTGAAGAGGTTGTAGAACTTGCTATAGCAAACAACGTAAGGTTTTTGTGTCTTCCACCCAATGCAACCCATATTGCACAGCCATTAGATGTTGCCTACTTTGCTCCACTTAAAAAAAAATGGAGGGCTATTTTATCAGACTTCAAAGTATCAACTGGAAAAGTAGGATTGCAAAAAGATAGGTTTCCAGGACTATTAAAGAAACTTATGGCGGAAATTGGCGAAGCAGGAACACAAAACCTTATCAGTGGATTTCGCGCCACAGGAATTTGGCCTCTAAACAGAGAAGAAGTATTTAAAAAACTACCATCGAAACCATCAGATGATATTGCAGAAAGGGAAAATTTAAATGATACTGTTGTGGAATTTTTAAAAAAGGCGCGTATACCTGAAAAACCAAAAATACAACGAAAGAAACGAATAGGTAAATGTTATCCCTGGGAATGGAGGATTTTGAAATGGGAGAAGGTTCAGGAGTGACAACGAATAAAAAGAAGTCTAAGAAGATAGTACAGGCAGACAGCGACGACGAGCTTTCAGAAAATATGGACATAGAGTTGCAGGATGAGTCGGATGACAATGAAGCGTCATATTTTGAAAACTTAGTCCACGAGGAAAATCACGAAAAAATGTTGGACGAAGAACTTCTTGACCAAGATGTTCCGACTGTTAATGATTTCGTCCTGGTAAAATTTGCAACGAAGAAGTCAATCAAATATTACGTTGGGCAGGTTTTACAAGAACATAAAAGTTTGGAATATGATGTCAAATTTCTAAGATACGACAAAGAAGTGTTTTCGTGGCCACAAGTAAGTTTTTGTCACCCAAAAAATAAGTAAAAGAAGTATTTTCTGCTTTTTTGTTTGGGTCCTTCTTCTTAATGAAAATAATAATAAATTTATTCCAAAATTTTTATCAAACACTATTTTCATTAAGAAGGTGGTGTGACCCAAACAAAAATGCAGAGAATCCATTAACCACCACAACAAAATCATACTTAAGAAAAGTAATTATAAATTATTTTGTCCACAGGTCGATGACATATCCCTGATTATGGCCTCAGATATCATAAAAAAACTACCAAAGCCAGACACAGACCGCCGCGGAAAACTAAAATTTCCCTTAAGTTTCGCTGGATATACGTTATGCTAATAATGTTTTTTATGATTTTTTTATGTTTTAATTTACTAAGAATTTTGTGTTTTGTTGTTTTTTCGTAAGTTTGTATGTTTTAAATAAAAACCAACAAAAAAAAAAGTTTACGAATAAAAAAGTTGAATTTTATTTTTGAAATACAACAATGCCATTCTTTAATTTTCCAATCGATATGAAATACTAGGAAAATGTACTATTTTTTCCGCTCTTTCCAATGGTGGGGCTATTTTGAACGTTTGACGCCTCTAAATGGTCATAATATGCAACATAATTCAGCGTTCAAAGTTACACCACGACTGGGGTAACTTTGAACACTCAACTTTATTTTTTTTTAAAAGTTAGCCATTGAATAAATCCTAAAACTATCATTATTTTTGGATTTCTCTAGTAGTTACTAGCCCTCGCGATTTTTTTCATTTTTTTTAACATAAAATTAACAAAGTTTACCAACAAAATAGAGTAAATTTGTTCAAAGTATCCCCGTTTTACGGTACCTATAGTATATACTGTATAGGTGAAATTATAAACTATTTGTTATTTTTATTTATTATTTTATGTACAGGGTGATCCCCTATAATATCGCCCCGTTATAATATTTTTATTTTAAGTGCGGTTATGTATACATGTTATACTTGTTATAAAACCTATAGGCTATAATATACAGTGGTGGTAATGTACGCGTATTCCCCTTTGTAGACAAAGACGCTAACAATAGATATGCCATATAAGACGTGTAAAGTGTGGAGTGCCCCACCACTCCAGGAGTGGTGGGGCACTCTGCCTTGGGCAGACAACTTGTAGCGGCGTCAGACCAGGGAATGTGTTGAAACTGAGTGGTGGTATTTTTGTGGTATTATATTATACATACATATTTTACATATAATTTAAAACAGACTTCTAAACAAAATATTTTGATGCTTACGATATTTTGGCAAAAAGTCATCGATATAATAAACGTAAATACTTGTATATATTACTCGTGAATTCCACGAGTATTTTTACGAGTACATTGAATTTGGATTGTAAGTAGGAGTAATAAGTATTTCAAATAAAAATACTTATGAGTAAAAAAGTACTGGTACTTTTTTACTCGTAATTGAAATACTCAGTACTTGGCCAGCTCTGGCACGTACTACTCAAAGTCCCACCACGTGACCACGTACGGAACGCAGTCTTTTGAAACTTTGGCATTTAAGGCTTTTGAGGTTATGTATCTGTCAAAGTATAGTCAACGAAAGAAATAATATTATGTTTGGGCGTTAAAAATGTATTATAGCTTCGACTGAACTTGATCTACATCGAAAAATCATTATAACTTTAAAAATTTTAATAAATCACATGTCATGGGAGTATTAAATATTTTCACATTGCAAGTTTCTCTAAAAATTGTTTGTTTTCTTATAATATAACTTAAAGTAGGTATGCCAAGAGGTATGCACAAGTTTTGTCATTAGAATTATAAAAGCTTCAATTTAATTTGAACCATATTCAACAAATATTTAGGATAGGTACCTATATTTATTTATGACCATATTAACACACTCTTACAAATAATCCACTTATTTATTTTGGTCAAAATAGATTTTTCTAACCTTAAAATACAAAATTAGATGATATTTTTTGTTCTAATACATTAACCTACCTTTGATACAGATATTCTTATTTCATAATAGACAAGTTAGATTTTTTTTAAATAAATGCTGTTTAATTAAAACTATTTTATGGAGAAATGTAGACCCAATGCACAAAAATATAACTTATATTGCACCTTACACTTTGGAATTTCATTAAATGCAGTATTTATATTCCTAAATTCTTAAACCAACCATTGTTATTGTGATACTATAACGATTTATTAACTTTTAACGCTTAAACATAAGCGGTAAGACTATTAATATTATTTCTTTCATTGACTATATTTTGACAGATACATAACCTGAAAAGCCTTTTTCAAAAGGCTGCGTTCCGCGTTTATTAACGAATCGAAAAATTTGTGTCGTCAATATTTTGACTGCTGTGTAAATTTGCAGACAAAAACGAGCTCTATGGAAGTACAGCACGGACCGGGCGGCCATAGCGGCCCGGTGGACGTGGCTGCAGGCGCAAATCTCGGACCTGGAGTACCGGATCCGACAGCACACCGACCTGCACAAGCAGATCCGCACCGGCAAGGGGGCGATAACGCTGGGCGGCGCGAGCCCGCCGCCGCCGCCGCCGCATCTGCCGAACGTGCCCGCTTCCCCGACCGCCGTCAACGGGTACCGCGGGCAGCTGCCCGGCAACAGCCCGGACTGCGCGAACGGCGCCGTACTTTCGTCCGGGCTCGAGTATCAGTGCGCGAGGACTAGACCTTTGGTGAATTTCAAGAAGAGGAAGCTGCTGCCGACGGCCGGTCTGCACGTTATATCGAAAAAGGCGGCCAGGCCCAGCTCGATGAGGTGCGGGTGTGCTCCGATGTCTGTGCCTTGTGCTCTGTGCACCGGCCGAACTGACCCGACGCATCCGAGGAACCCGCCCGAAACTTTGGGCAAGGCGGAAAGGATCGCGCTGCTCGATCCCTCCTACCATCCGGTCTTCTCGTTGCCAGAAGGTGAGCTATCTTTACTTTTCATTTTTACTTTCATAGCTAAATCGACCATCCATGTCGGGATATTGGGGGGGAAGTGGTTTAATTCATTTCTGTTAAATCAGAATTTCGAGATGTAGGAATGTTCTCCAGTTGATAACACTGTAGGTAAATTTTCAACTCTTAAAATATCACAGCTAAACGATCGGACAAGTAAACATAATTTTTGGTAGTAGATGGAGATGTAAAAAACGGGTTTTTTCAGATGTGAAAAAAAACCAAGAAAAAAAACGTTTTTTTTCAAATCCGCTACAATAAAGCATATTCTGTCAATAAAAAATGGAGTAATTTGTCAAAATTAAATTTTGAGTAAAATGTATATTTATAATAAAGTGAAATGTAGAATATATAACATTTTTCATTATTGAAAATTTTGACTGAGACTAAAAAATCTGATTTCTTATTATTTGGTAGTCTCCACATAAAAAAACAATATCAGTGTAAAACTTCTACACTAATAGAAAAAATTAAAGGATTAAACAAATTCCAAATTTTTTGCGATTTTTCGGATAGCTGTATCTTCGTTAAAAATGGTCGTATTGGAGCCGTAAAAAAAGCAATTTGAAGCTTGAAGTTTCTAATTTTTAGATGAAAAACGTGCAACGCTCAATCCTAACAAATACCGTAATAAAAAAATTCGAGAATTTTTTGGCTTTCTTTTTTGGTCCACGGAATGTTCTGACTAAACCACCAATGAATAAATGTTCTACAAAAATTTGCTATTGTTTAAAAAAAAATTCATACTCTACATGAATTTTTTTGGTAGCTTTTTGAAAAATCTAAAATATTATAGGTAGTTACTTTTTTTAGTCATTTAGTAGCTAATTTTAGTCCATGAACTGGACTGGAAACATAAAAAATTGGGTAAATGGGACTAATCTTGAAAAAAAAACCTGAAATGTGAAAAAAAAAACCATTTGAAAAAAAACAATAAAAAAAACAAAAAAAAACGGACCGTTTTTTTTCAAGTCGCATCTCCAGTTGATAACACTGTAGGTAAATTTTCAACTCTTAAAATATCACAGCTAAACGATCGGACAAGTAAACATAATTTTTGGTAGTAGATAGAGATGTAAAAAAACGTTTTTTTTTTCAGATGTGAAAAAAAACTAGAAAAAATAGTAGATTATGTCATAAGGAGTAGAAGTGACTCTTTTTGTGGTGAGTACAGAGATTGATGGCCGAAGCGTAGCTGAGGCAGGTAACTGTACGAAGCACAAAAAGAGCTTCTACTCCAAATAACATATACTATTTTTTTTCAAGGGCGTAAATAGGATAATCAATAGATTATTATTACTTAAATTTACATTAAATGTAAAATTACACGCACTGCAGCTCTTCAATTAAATCATCATGTGGGATAAAATTTTGGCTAAAAGCATTAGAAATTATTGATAAAAACTTATAACCCTTACTTACAATGCCGATAAAATTTATAAAATTTATTATTATATTTAATATCCTAAACTAAAAATAATAACTGCTCTGTCAAAATGCTGCGCTTGAATTAATTTTGACGTACTGACATTTGTTTGAAGACATTGGCGACTCGTATATCATCATAATATTATACTAATAAACTAGTTGTTCTTTATTTCATTCAATTTAAATTTAATAAATAATCACTAAATATTCCGTGCGATCATAATTAATATAATTAATACATTAATGATTGCTTTGTATGAAATGCTACATTAATTTTATTAATTGACGTCTATTGAGTCACCTATGGATTTACTTCTATCCCTAGGCTTTTTTGAGTTTTTTGTTTGCCGCTAATGAAAAAGACGCACTTCAACTATCTCTATACATGCATATTAGGGTGTCCATTATTTTTATTTTTTTACGCATACCCCCTAATTATATTTATTACGTGTTTATATACTCCCAGTAAAAATTTCAGCTCATTCTATAAACGGGAACCCGTGCCGACTTGCATCTGAACCATCCGTTAGCCAACGTTAGGCGCGCGGTATTTTGTAACACGGTTGGTCGCGAAGTCATTTTGTGTTTGTTATTATGTGACCCTTATATTATAAATTATTGACAAATGTTAAAATATAGTTTTATTTATGTGTATACTTTGATAAAAATGTATATTTTCACAGGGAGTGGCTAGTTACCCGGAGGGGTCTGTTGAATAGGCCGTAAACTCTGAAATTGATAAACTTAATGGCTTTTACTCTAAATAACTAAAAGAGTCTATTGTGAGAGATGACTACCGAAAACTTATTGAACTGTCTGAAATATTTTTGGGAGGACATCAAGAAAAGAAATTATTATTAAAAGCTGAAATTTCAAATAACAGTATATTTTAGCAATACTAATTAGTACATTAATATATTTAAGGGATAAAATCAACTAAATTAGTGAAACAAATGATAGAAACAAAAGCAATAATATTAATTAGTAATCATATTTAATAAAATCATTAGAAAAATACAGTCATGAAGTATATCTTCTTTTTAAAGTGTTTCGTGTTACAAAATACCGCGCGCGCCTAAGGTTGGTTTGGAGGGTTCAGATGCAAGTCGGCACGGGTTCCCGTTTATAGAATGAGCTGAAATTTACTGAGAGTATATAAACAAGTAATAAATATAATTAGAGGGTATGCGTAAAAAAAATAAAAATAAGGGACACCCTAATGGATATATATCATGGTCGATTGAAAAAAACGGTTTTTTTTTGTTTTTTTTTTCAAATCCGCAACAATAAAGCATATTCTGTCAATTTTTTTGCGATTTTTTGGATAGCTGTATGTAGAGTTGGGGATGGTCAATTGACCGCTACCTATTTGACCGGTCAAAATATATTTAATTTTTGCAGCATTTTATTTAGGTATTAACAATTACCCGTAAATCTCAAAATTTTTGCGATCGTGCAATATCGACATCATTTACAATTTGGTGGTTCCCCGAGTCGAGGGGTTGCTAGGCTGAACTCGGCGCTTTGCCCTTAAAGCGGGACATATCGTTTTTAATAGCGAAACATAACTTTTTAAAGCCGCACAAACGTTTCTAAAGATGGACATAACTTTTATAATAAAAAAAAATTGGTAACGTATTTTAATTACCTATTTATTAAGTACAAATATTTACAAAATTTTGATTTTTTATTTTGGTCAATTGACCGGTCAATTGACCAAAAACAATTAGACCGGTCAATTCCACAACCCTAGCTGTATGTATATAAAATGGTCCTATTGGACCCGTAAAAAAAAGCAATTTGAAGCTTGAAGTTTCTAGTTTTGAGATTTTTAAAAAACGTGCAACGTTCAATCCTAACGAATACCGTAATAAAAAAATTTCAAATTTTTTGGCTTTCTTTTTTGGTACACGGAATTTTCTGACTTAACCACCAATGAATAAATGTTCTACAAAAATTTGCTATTGTAGTTTAAAAAAAAAAATTCCCATACTCTACATGAATTTCAAAAATCATGAAAAAAGTGCTTTTGGTAGCTTTTTGAAAAATCAAGCGCTGGTATTGTTATTAAAGTTAATAATTTTGTCAAACTTTAGAGAACGGTAAAATTGAAAAAAATAGAATCTCTGGGACCAGTCTGTATAATTGAATTAAATTTTACACACTATTGTAGCAATGTTTAGACTGTTGAATGATCATTTAATTAAGATAAATGTGTTTAAACAAAAGAATTTTGCATAACTTTATTATAAACAATTGAAATTTTGTTTGTGTTCGCTGCTAGCTCGTCAGCATTAGGGCTGGGCGATTATCGAAATTCATAATCGATTACACTAGTTTACAAATTTTTAGTTCATAGCGTGAACCTAAAAAAAACGTTTTTTTAGGCTAACTTAGGGCCTCTGAAAAAAGAAAAGTAACTTTATTTTTTTTCAAAGAAGCGTTATCTATATCCGATCTGTAGACGTGTTTTATGGATCTTTTCTCAATTACTCGCAGAAATCTCGAGAAAGGCTCATCAAACTAACATTAATCGTATATCGTTCGAAAAGTATGTTATTCTTCTTTCCGACGATATACTGTTTGTACCAATCGGATTTAAATGTTTCGAGTTGCAAGTAATAAAAGTCGAAAAAATGTGGATTTTCTTACGTTTTTTAAAAATTACTCCGAGAATCACTCATATTTAGTTGTTTCAGGAAGATATTAAAAAAATATTTTACGTCCTTTTAAGATCGCAAGTAACAGATAATTCCAAAACAAAAATATAAAGCGTAAGTTTCCTTATATCGGACGAAACATTTTTTGTCCGATTTTAGCAAATTTAGGCTTTATATGTTTTTAATAAAATTATCTGTTAACTGCGATCCTTAAACTATGTTAAAAAAATGTTTGTATACCAGGGACCCGGACCGAAATGAAATATTGGTTCCGGTACGGTTTTGGTTCACCCTATTTTCGTTTTAATGGTTCCGATTCCGGTTTCGGTTTCGTGGAGTTATAACGGTTCGGTTCTTTTCGGTTTTAAGCGGTTCCAGTGAGGTTATTTGTTTTAATCTATAACATATATATATGTTATATTATGTTATTAGAATGAAAGCAAATAAAGGTTTCGGTTCCGGTCCAACAGATTTTATCAAAAGCGAAAACGGTTCCGGTTCGGGTTTCGGTTCGGAAAAAAAAACCGGTTCCGTTCCGGTTTTCGGTTTTTTTGGTTTTGGTCCGGGTCCCTGTTGTATACCTAAGAAACAACTGAATATAAAAAGTTGAAAAATGCACTTTTTATCTACTTTCATCACCTGCAACCCAATAAATTTTAATTTTATTGATACCAACAGTATATCGTCGGAAAGAAGAAGAATATACCTATCGAACGAAATACAATTCATGTTAGTTGTATCAACCACTCACGAGATTTCTATTAGAAACTAAAAACAGAGCCAAAAAACACGTTTTTTGCTTGGATCTAGATAACGCTTCTTTGAAAATAAGTAATTTTTTCTTTTTCAGCGACTCAAAATTGCTCTACTCTCTAAAAA